CATTCCCTGCTACAATAATGCACAGGCCACTCTCATATACAAAATACTCCACATCCACTAAAATATTTCAGGTGCCACTTCCCCATCTCCAACCCTTTCTCCCTCTTCCCACTACTCCTGAGGTATGTCCCATACCTCCTCCCGGTCCCTGCTGCACCAGCCTCACCTTCCCCCTGTGGCCCAGCCTGTTCTGGTGCCGCAGCAAGGCAGGAGGCAGCAAAAGGTGGATTTTACGCATGCCAAGTGACCGCTGCCTACTGGGGTGCACAGCAGACAGGTTTCCCAGTGCTAGAAGGAGGTCTAGCCCCTACCCCTGCTGCCCTTTAGCAAAAGAGGATGACATTGGGCAGTGGACTGAAAGAGGATCGGTGATGGGGAGGAACCCCCAAGACAGTTTGTGCATAAGCAAGTCTCACTTAGAACATTCAATGTGAGCAAAACAGCTTAAAACCAGCTTTGACACTGTCCCGCACGACATCCTGGTGGACAAATTGGAAAAATATGGATTTGATGGATGGACCACTCCCTGGATAAGGAATTGGCTGGATGGTCACACTCAAAGTGTTGTGGTCAACGGCTCAATGTCCAAGTGGACCGGTGATGAGTGGTGTTCTGCAGGGATCAGTACTGGCACTAGTGCTATTTAACATCTTTGTCAGCAACATGGACAGTGGGACTAAGTGTGCCCTCAGCAAGCTTGCCAACAACACCAAGCTGTGTCATGCAGTCAACGTGCTAGAGGGAAGGGATGCCACCCAGAGGGACTTGGACAGGTTTTGATGGGTGGGTCCATGCCAACCTCATGAAGTTCAATAAAGCCAAATGCAAGGTCCAGCACCTGGGTGGAGGCAATCCCAAGCACAAATAAGGCTGGGGGAGAATGGCTTCAGAGCAGCCCTGAGGAGAAGGACTTGGGGGTGTTGGTTGATGAGAAGCTGAACATGAGCCGGCAGTGTGCGCTCATGGCCCAGAAACCAATCATGTCCTGGGCTGCATCAAAAGCATGACTAGCAGGTCGAAGGAGGTGATTCTCCCCCTCTACTCTGTTCTCGTGAGACCCCACCTGGAGTACTGAGTCCAGGTCTGGGCCCCCAACGCAAGAAGGATGTTGAGGTGTAGGAGCGGGTCCAGAGGAGGCCATGAAGATGGTCAGGGGGCTGGAGCAGCTCCCATGCGAGGACAGGCTGAGAGAGTTGGGGTTGTTCAGACTGGAGAAGAGAAGGCTCCAGGGAGACCTTACAGCAGCTTCCAGTACCTGAAGGGGGCCTACAGAAAAGCTGGGGAGCCACTTTTTACAAGGGCATGTAGCAACAGGACAAGGGGTAATGGATTTAAACTGAAAGAGGGCAAATATAGACTAGATATTAGAAAGAAATTCGTTACTGTGAGGGTGGTGAGACACTGGCCCAGGTTGCTCAGAGAAGCTGTGGATGCCCCATCCCTGGAGGGGTTCAAGGCCAGGCTGGATGAGGCTTTGAGAAACTTTCTAGTGGGAGGTGTCCCTACCCATGGCAGGGGGGGGAAGTAGATGATCTTTAAGGTCCCTTCCAACCCAAACCATTCTGTGATTCTGATTCTATGAAAAAAATGAAGGCAACTTTCACTGCAGGCTATTTTCTCAAACAGATAATTGGAAACACTGGGGGAAAAAATGCAAGATAACTAGTTTGGGGGTTTTCAGGTTTTAATGCTGGAAGCAGCTGGAACAGCCAGGCTTTCACTATGAAGAAGCGTAATAGTACTAACCTTGGTACTTACATTATTGGTTTTCTTTAACAGTTAAATAAATTAGACACACTCCCGGGACCTCCACCAATCCTATAAAAGGCAAATATTTACTGGGTTGATAAACAACCAACCCTGATGTCTCCCATCAGGTAAGACTGGCCAAAAGAGAAGAGGGAAAAGAAAAAAATCACAGAGCCACAGGACTGTTGAGATTGTAAAGGACCTCTGGAGGTACTCCAAAAATGCCTAAATATTACAACTAAAAATGAATGCAAAATAAATACTTGGCTGAATCATGCTTAAGACTGTTGCTTCCCAAATGCACAGCATAGTGCGCAATTCCGTTTGCTGTTTATTTTGGTAGCAAGTCTGGTGCCGCTGTGGTTATTGCAGAAGGAGCGAGAGGCATGTAAGTAGTATCCTGCTTTAACACTAAGTGCAAGAGGAGCAGCACACTGTTCAGTTCCAGTATGTACGTCGCAGGGACTAGCAAATGCAAGAAGAAATACAAAAGCCAAACAAGTCTGAAACCTATTTGTGGGGAGCTCCACCACCTCTTCATTATCAGCTGTTTCCAGACTGAGTCTTTGCCTGCCTCTGTAACCCGCTTCCCGCCCACACGCATTCCTTTCCAGCAATGTTGCTTTATTTGGCTTATCATTATCTTCTTGTTAAACCCACTTAATTGCTGCCTTTAACTCTTTATGTTCCATAATAGCCCCTCTGATATCACTTGTTTACTGAAAAAAGTAGTCACAGCCTTAAGTATTACATTTCCAAACAGCATCTAAATTGAGAAAGGTCTTGACAGCCCCAGTATTCAACAGCGCTAGCTCCATTAACTCACACACACTTCATAAAACACTAGGCATGATAAGGCAAGCTGGACTTTACGAGCTGAGAAACTGTCCAAGTCAAAGTCTGCACACAACCAGGGTATTTCCAGAAATCCAGAGTCTACTTTTTCATGAACTCCCTTAACACAACAAAGCTGCATCACCCTGCAATGAACTATAGGGCGTTTACTGCATCTGTAGCAGATCAGAGAGGGTCCTCTCTGTGCTGCCCCAAGAGCGATTAGCTCAGTTCACCAAGTACGCTACACCGGGTCTGAGTTTCCACAGCCAGATCTATCAGAAACCTAAGGAAAAAAATCCCAAGTGGGAGAGGTGGCAGCAAAACCCCTAATGCTGATATAATTACTTCAAGAAGAAAAATAAAATAAAATTCCTTTGGCAATTTGGTGTTATTTCAAGAACCGCTGCAAGCTTTGCACGCACAAAAACGCACCAACCTCAGGGTGCCATCACCTGCATCCGCACCGGGAACTTGGTCAGTTTAACCCCCTCCCAACTTTTAATAGTGTAACCAAAGTCTGCCTAGACACTGTCAAAGGCAGCATGCAGCGTCAGTACGGAACAGGAGGCTTTTGCCTTCTCAATGTTTTTGTTGTCGGACTGGGGACCAGGTTGTCTTTTAAGGGATTCAATCCACTAGAATTACTTTACTACTGAAAAAATACCCCGTAGACTGAGCTGGTAAAGCACCCTTCACTGTGGGTGAAGTACTGCAGGTAAAGCGGGGCCCTGTACCCATATGTCAAGGCATCAGCAGAAGCACGAAAGGCTAAACTAGTCAAAAGCGGGACCGTGCCAGTACCCATATGTCAAGGCATCAGCAGAAGCACAAAAGGCTAAACTAGTCAAAAGTGGGACCGTGCCAGGGTTAACCACCCACCTATCCTCTGCCGGTGGATAGTTAGCACAACTAACCGCTAGCAGAAACCTGTCCCACAGATATAACTGAAAAGTAAAAGCTTTGCTCTATTCTCAAACCCATTTGGAACTTCTGGACAGAAACAGTCCAGCCCCTCTGAACACGGGGTGGGGTAGGGAAATCAGGGGAAAAAACCAAACCAAACCAAACCCTCCTATAATGCCACGTGTTCCTAATGCAGAACAGTGTTTTCCTGTGATACCACACTTGGCAGCAAGGCACCGAGCAGGGTGTCTCCCGTGAGGCTTTGCACAGAAGAGGCTCCACGGTCTTCCCCTGCCAATGGCAGCGAGGCCCTGCCTCTGTCGGTAAAAACAGCACGTGTCTGACACGCTAATAACATGGGTTAAATTCCTACCATGAACCGGGCGAGCTGTAGTTTTAACACATTAACATGTTCTACCAGGGGAAAAGCTGAAGTATTTTTAGCATGGCCTGAGTGTTTGCCTCTTAACTGTTCTGGCCTTTTTTGGAATTTTTGACTCTGGAAACAAATACAATACCCTTTCCAATAGTGAAACACCACCTGGTCTCTTTTATTGTTTGCCACAAAGAAGACTGTGAATTGTACTTCCAAAGACATTAAAGGAGAGAAACATAAAGCAGTTACTTTTGACACATCAGACAGTTCACTTACTGTTTCCCTAATTCCTGCCCATGCTCCCCAGCCTTTCCTACTTACATGCTTAGCTCTGATGAAATCTCAGTGGAGAAAACATTTCTCTTCACTAAGAAATCCAGTGCCCAGTTGTTGCTTGAAGGCGTTGCCCCTCTCTCTCCTGTATGAAATGGTGGGAATGCAGTAAGAGGGGTCAACAAAATACACTGGCAAACTGCTCCACATATAAGTGCCCTCTAGTCCTGCCCCTCACACAGCCACTCAGACTGATTTCCAAGATACAGGGAGAAGCATCTGACCACAGTACATTTGTTTTTATCACATTAAAAACCCACAGCTGCGTTATCCCCTCCACCAAGTCAGGGTCAAGTATAAAGGAGGAGATGGAGTTTAAGCACAAATGTAACACGAACCAATGATGCAAGGCGAGTTTGAGGACTGAAAGGGAAATAGCACGGAGCAAAGGAGGGACTCTCCCCCTCTCCTATTTTGTATCCCATGTCACATAATATCCCCTTCCTCCTCCCCTCTGCCTGGCACTAGCATAGGCATGCAACGCCGCCGTAAGGAACAGATGTCTGACAGTCCACGCTGCACACAGCCACCATCAGCGTGCCCAGGGACTGCCAACGTCCAGGCCACGCACACAGATCACCCAGAAAAACAAGATTCTTGAGAGGATTAATGGTGAGAGAGGCTCCTGTGGCTGCAAAAAGGAGACTGTGGTTGATCATCTGCTCCCAGCTGAAGGGAGAGCAGAACAAGCCTTTTGTATGTCCCGGGTTCTTCTCTTCCTCCTCCTCAGACATTGCCCTTACTGTTGCTTCTGGAGTGGAGGAGGAGATGGGGTGGGGGGGCTGCACTTGGCGACTCCGATTCATCTCTCAGGCAGCAGGACGAAGAAGATAGCCTTAAGGAAGTGACCAAAGCTGCAAACCACGGCCACGAGCCAGTGGGAGCGAAGGCTGGGGTCAGTATTCACCACGCATTTTGTGATGTCTGCCTAATGAGGAGGGAAAAAGATCATCAGAGATGCCCAGAACCACATCAACCACCACTGCAGACTCTCCCCTTCCCACAACCCACAAGCACACCACCGCTGCTGCTGCTCTTTGCCACACCAGCAACAGCCACAAACACTTGCTCTGACACTTCCACACACTGCAAGTTATTAAACCAGGCTCAAGAGCTCTGCGAAATACACTTTCCTCATTCAGCATCAACAAGGTGAAGCATCCCTCTTTTCAGCCCCCCTTGGGAAAAGAAATGCTACAGGAAGATTGTCAAGGATTTTCCATTTTGAATAGCTAAATAAAATAAACTTTCTTCCCCTTTTCAAAAGAGCTAGGAAGCCTTGGCAATATCAGCATTCTCAGCCTTTTCTGTAAAGCAAGATGCTTCCCAGAGGTTGTCCTGTTTAATATCAGCTCAAGTTGCTTGCACTTTTTCTCTTGCCTTAATGTTTTATTTGGAAGTCATTCAAGCAAGCCAACCTCCAATTTAAATCTAAAGCAATGCAAGCTCTGTTTGTGGAAATATGTATGCTGGCAGAGATGCCTCCCAGACGCGTGGGCCAGATTTAAAGATCGCTTGGGCAGCTGGATTCAAGTATTAACAAGAATAGGAGCTGGCCTGCAACGAATAAAAAATAACAACAACCCAGCAAATTAATGAAGACAGGATCTCAGCTGGCATTGGGAGGAGAAGGTGGAAAATATCTGGAAGGTAAAGCGAACGGGACAGAGGCGGATAGAAAATTGCATCTTCTGGCGGGGGAAACAAATTAGAGCTCTGCCAGCAATACAATTGAGTTTGTGGTTAAACTTCAGCCTAGCACAAGGAGAGATGGACTGTAGTTCTGTAACAGAGGAAGCACCATTAGCACATCAACTTGACGCAGTTTTCAGAAATGGCTTTTGGGTGGCAAACGTGAACAAGAATCGAGTCACACAGAAGGCAAATATTCGTCAGCCCCAAAAGCTGCTTCTGTCTTCCGAGTTAGCCTTCTGACCCAAGTCTCTCACTGACCAAGCAGAAGGAAGTCAGACTTCACCCTGAGATGTTCCTGCTGTAAAATGGGACACAAGAGCTGCTGAATACTCCAATAATCTTTTCCAGTATTTCCACCTGTGTTCAAGGGTGAGCCTCACCCGACCAACCTTGGTAATAATTAGAAGAAAACAAAAGGGGGACTGAAGGGACAAATCCCTGTGTCCCATTAGTGAGAACAGCCACACTAGCTGACTCCACTGTCATCTGCAGCCCAAAGGTCTGTTGACAGCAGCCTCAGCAGCCTCCCACACAGTTCCAGCAGTTCCTCCCTCGCAAGGAAGTCTGAAAGGCTGGCACAGTGAATCACCCTGCACCGCTGTTCTCCTGGGAGCATTAGGAGACGCTGAGCTCACAAAGAACTGACAAGCAGAGATTGCAGGGGGAATGAATACAGCCACACAAGGATGGGGAGAAAACAGGATGACAGGAGGAAGCTGAATCACCACGAGGTGCTCCTAAGGCTGAACACCAAGGTGTCAGAATGCTGCTGCCTACAGCTACAAAAGCACATGCAAATGTAGCAAGCACGGACAGCACAAAACAGAAGATGCTGCCACGTAGTACTGGTGCTTACAGGCACTTTAGCTGTACTGTGGAGGAAAGTAAAATGGTCTGCCTAAATGCTTTCAGTAATAGCTTAGCAAACTCACTCTGTCCACGTTTTTAAAAAGTCTGAACTGATTCAGCTTGTCCAATTTTAGGGACCAGCACACCCCTAAAACACAGTTGTGTCAACCTGTCTCTTTAGTCAAGAGAAATCATGACATGGAAGTACCCGCCTGAATGTGTGTGCGGATATTAGGGTAGCTGATCAATAAGAAAACTAAGCCCTGAAGGGCTTTAGCACCTCATATGAACCACGGCAAGGCCCAAATATGCACACAAGGTTGATCATGGCTGCAGATGGTTAACTTCCAGATAAGAAAGTGCAAACTCCTTAAAGCTGTGCTATGCCCTACCAAAGGCAACAACCTCACTGCGGCTAATCAAGAGGAGCTGCAGTCAGAAGCACTTATGAATTTGTTTGGTGCTTGCTTAGATAAACAAAATTGCTCAGCTGTTTAACAATTGCCTTAGCTATTGTTATCCAAATAAATAAAAGCGTACTGATAAGGCACTGGAACTGAAAATTTCAAAGCTACTTAATAAAACAGGTCTTTGAGTCTTGTGAGGCACTGATAAACTCTTACAATGGCAGTTTGATCTTCACCTCTTAACTATGCAAACAAGTTCAAGTTGTATGCTCTTCTTTGTAGCAAATGAATGTAACAGCTGCTAAAAAAAAATCTTTTTATTCTACTGTAAAGCCACTACTGAGGCTGCAAACTCTCCTCAGGGAGAGATGATGCCTCAAAGGGTTAAACATTTGTTTCTCCTAAGAGGTTAGTTTTGGGTTGGGCTTTGGGGAGTATGGTCTGTCCCCACCCTATGGAAGCAGCATGGGAACCTACTGCTGAGTGGAAGCTTTCCAGTGCCTTTCCACCTTCTCTGCAGTGGCTTTTCCGAAACAGCTTGGAGCACGGAGAGTCCTCTCGGCAGCCTCAGCCTGAGCCAATGTGTAAGAGACGGCGCCATGTGCACAGGGGAAACAAGGACTCCATGCCAAGACAAACTACCAACCAGCTAGGTCAGGCAGCGGACGAAAGGGTCCCCACTACACAGCTGCTTCATCTGGCCCACTTGTGAACAAGGCTGGGAAATTTCACACTGTAGTGCCTAGATCAAGAGGAAGAACATTCAGAGAAGCACAGCTAAAGGTAGCAAGAGGATTATCAGCCCTTCCCCAGCCTGAAGGAACCGCTCATTTCTACAGGGAAAATATCTCCTTGTTGCAGCCCCAAATTGCTGATAAGGGTACTGGAGACAGGCTGTAAACAGCACAACCCAGTCATTTTGTTTGACCGGGGGCAGTGTGATTGGCTTCCCTTTCCAAGGGCCAGAACCCAAGAGCACGCAGTGTGGATTCAGCAGCTCCAACAGAAATGTGCTGGCCATCCAAAGAGGGATGATCGGCAGAGGGAGCTAGCAGTGGACAGGACTTATCTCCTCAGCAGCAAAGAACCTCTTCTTGTCTGGGGATGGGTTTTGCAGCTTGTGTGCTATGCAAACTTGACAAAAATATCCACTTAGAACCATCAAACCACCCTGTTTTGAACTCTAATAATGCAATACAAAAATTAAAACAAGATGCTAACTTATCAGAACATGCATATTTTACCAAAACAAACAAACAAAAAAAGTTGGAAACTAGGAGGAGACATGTTCCTATGCAACATTTAAATTTTAATGAAACTAGATTTTTTTCCAAAGGAAAGACTGTTTCAGAGAACACATTTCAACCAGCTCTACAGGTACCCAGTTAAAGCAAACCTCAAATGATACTGGGGCAGGGATTTCATGGGCAGAAACAGGACTACTTAACCAATTGCTTTCCCAGGACGTTCTCTTCACCCACCTCAGCACAATTATTTGTGCAGATGCAAAATGAAACTGCTATCAAATTCAAATCAAAGGTTACTTTTCAGCCCAGCCGGACAGTTCCCTGACTCAGTTGGCCTCAAGGTCACACAGTTTTTAGAGAGAGCAGGGATGACTTAAGGTGGCAATGACACTTAGCAAATGCAAGGGATACAAAATCAGAACAACATTACTTTTCCGGTTTCCCTTCATGAAAAAGGTGCCTTCCTTCACTCCTGGGGAAACTAGGCGACAGAATCGGCTCCAGGCACACTTGGGAAGTCTCAGCACAGAGGAGCAATGCTCAGTTTGGAAAAAGACAACCCTCTCTCTCCGGGTCTGTGTGAGGTGGGGAGCCTGACCATTAACTGATGGCTCAGGAACAAATATCACCTCTTGGAAAGGAGGGAATTTGCTGCTGTGACTCGTGCATGCCTTGGGAACAAGATGTCCCATGAGCTCAGTGGTGTCACACAGCAATATTTAGCTCCAGGCAGCATCTGTCAGGCAGTACACCAAAGTGCTTTTGGCTGCATCGCTCCAAAGAGTGTCTACATCCCTGCCAGAAAGGCACAGATGTACATCACCCAGCTGCCACCCGCTAACATAGCCAACCTGTCATCTCTGTCTCCTGGGGAAGCCACTAGAAAGGTGTCTGCCTATTCCACAGCACCAAAGTAAGGTTCTTACTCTGAACCATCCTCCCTGGGAGCATTGTATTCCCTCTTGGGTATAGAGAGAACCAAAGAAATCAAGACGCTTAAAGCCAGATGACGTGGAGCCACACTCTAACGCAGAGCAGCACCGTGCCTCACCCACAGCCTGGGAGCAGGCCAGTGACAGAGCCACGAGCCCTCCCACTGTCGATGGGTGTTATGAGTGTCCTTCAAAGCATAAGCGTGCTACAATTTGAGCTACATCAGAAGAAGTTAATCACAGACCACCGTCAGGGTCAGGTCAGGAAATGGCACAAATTACCAAGTTTTAATAACACTCTAAAATTCCTTATGGTTGGAAGTCACGGTAATATACTAAGCTTTGACTTGGGGAGCTGTGGGGCAGATGAAAGAGGAAATAAGATGGCAGGCCTCATTTATTCAGTTTCTAGAAAACAGCTGCCCAAGAGAATGACTCCTGTTTACAGTGTCCCACTACGACTGGCTCCAGAGATGGTCAGGTCAGGAACGGAAGAGGCACTGGTGGGTCAGGACTGAACTAGTCTGGCACAGCTATGCAGGAAGCTGAGGACCAGAATAGCCGATGCTGTTGTCAAGGTCAGGACCATGAGGCAGTAACAGAGCTATATGGAGCCTAGCACTGGTGTAAGTAGGACAGTGGTGGCCACAGGGCTGTGGAAGAGGATCTCATTCAATGGTTTTCTGCATAAAGCTGCAGTGGGTGCACTATCACTTGAATTAACTGGGATATTTTCTGGTCTGCATGTGTGGAAGCAATCTCAATCAGATAGTATCTCTTACCCAGCCTCCTCTCCTTTTCAGCCACGTCACCAAGGTCTTGCGGACAAACTCTCCCAGGCAGTCTACGATGGTGTGAACCATGGCTGGCTGTGCATGCCGCACACAGTCCACGGCCAGCCCAGCTGCCACAGCGTAGAGAGACACTACCTTGCCCCACGTTATGCCTATGAAAAGAAGAAAAGTCATTCAGATTCACACATGCGTATATAGCTCATTCTTGAATAATCGCAGGAAACAGCTCTCCTTCATTACATGTGCCCACACTGCATGTGCGCAGCTCTGAGTTCAGGCGCAGCCACAGTTCTGCATGCTCTTCTCCACCATGAGAGAAAAAAATACTAGGGAACCAGGACTGGGGAAAACTCTCCACCTGGAGAATCAGAATTCTGGGCATGCTTTGACCCCCTCTCAGCACTAGGGGCACAGCTCTGGAGAAAGAAGCCCAAAGGCATCATCGAAATAGGAAAGATGTGCACCACCATGGTTTATATTGCCATTAACTCTCAGCCATGCACATGCTGCACAGGAGGCAATTGAATTCCAAGACTTTGAGCAACCTGAGGTTTTTGTCACCAGCACAACTCTTAAACACCCTTAAGACAAAGCATTCCTGTTTTTTTCTAGATCAGAGGAGACTGTTCCAATGTGACACACAAAGCGCAGGAGATAAGCATCTTCAGTCAGTTCTGCCACGACACGAGTAAAAAAGGGAGGCAAAGCTACAGGGCCAAGAGGGTTGGTGCCCTCCTTGATGTAAGGAGTATGCCTCAGTCTCCATCTGAAAACCAGGTAGCTTCAAGAATTTGGTCACTCTGCCTGCAATACTTAGCTTTGCATATCCTATCCCACTGAAAGGCAGTGCAGGGACAGAGTGTCAGTCAGTTATCTAATCTCCCAGCAAACAGCCTTCCTGCTAGGCTGACCTGCCAGCAGCAAATGCTCCATGGAAGTTATCCCAGCAGCAGTCATCTTCCTGTTCGTGACAGCGATAAGCGCTCCAGCCCACTTTTGGGTACCAGCCAACCTCCCTGGGTCTGCCTCGCACATTGCCAGCACCACTAGGCACAAATCCTCTGTGCCTGGACATTACAGGCAGCAATCTCTCACCAGGCTTTTATCAGAACCAATGGCCTGGAAATGCAACCCTTCTGCACCCATGTAGAAGAACTACCACAGCACAATAGCACGTGGATTACCTTTGGATCCGTTAGGAATTTTAATTCCACCCCCTTACTTTAGTATCTGCAGTATTTGATAAGCATATTGCAAAGTATTTTACAGTGTTAGGTCTCCATGGAGTCTGTCCAAGGTCTCTCCCAAGTGTAGCCAGAAGCCAGGTGAAGTTTCAGTATGTAAAAACACAAAACCATTCTTGCTGGGTCGCAACAAGAAAGAAAACAGGTGAGAGGAAGGAAAGATTAGTTCAGCCACTAAATACCAGAAGGGGTTAAACACACAATCAATACACTGGATGTGATCAGCAACCTATCAGCTAAGAAAGCAAACACTTAAACACAATTTAAATTGAAGTCTCCCTCTTTCCTTCATCACAGTCCCAGATCCCCAGGCACCCCGACCCACCTCTTCAGGATGAAGCTCCAGACTCCTCATGCCTGTTCACACCACAGCAGAGCTCCCCACATTTCTTTAAAATATATGATCAGAGCATTTCCAGGATCCTTCCACCTATAGCCTCAAAAGGGAGACTTGCACTAACACTTTTATAAATTACTTTCTTTTTTTTTTTTTTTTTTTAATAAAAGAGTACTAAACTTTAGAAAAACTGTTCAAATGTCAGCCACAGGAATGGTTTGCCAGACTGGAGAAAATCCATTTAGTGTTCTAAAAAAGCCATTTTTCACTCACGACTGGTGTAAGATCAAAATCTACAGATGATCCCTTTGCGAGGCTCTGTAGCAACAGTAACAGCAGTAGCTCAGAGTGTCCTGTGACACTCTGTCCTTCACCAGCACCATCTGCAAGATCAGAGGAAGTTATCAATATAGCTAAATGGGCTGTTACACTTATTCTGATTTTATTTTCTGCAGTGTCCCTTCCCCAGAGCTGTCACTCAGGAAGTTCACAGTGTGGTATTCACACTATTTATCTGTCTGTCTCACATGGCGTGTCACCATGACAGCCAGCAGAACGAGCCAGGAAGAGACTATGAAACCACATAAGAAAATACTTGACAGAGGGCTTTCTCCTGGCAAGAAAGAGGCTGGTCCTGTTGCAGGTCAATACCTCTCCACCCAGTGAGAGAGGCTTTAAGGGGTTACCTCTTGCTGACCACAATCTCCTGGAGCAGAGCCTCAGCTGGCTTATACTCAGCCTTGGTATAAGTCAGCTTTTACAGTTCTCCATCGCTGCAGAAATGCAGCTCCTTGCATCTTGAGTTACATGAACCAAAGTTATCCAGAATTCCAGGGAGGAGTTCAATGGCTTATCCTTAAGCTGTTACTGACAGCACTCTTAAGGATCTGAAGCAGGCCCATTAGCTTTGAGATATTTAAATGGCAGTAACTAAGACTGACAGGGGGCTGAGGCCACCCTGGTAGAGACAGACAGCTGCAGCCTTGATTAACTTTGTTTTAAACCCAAATTTCTCTTTCCAGCAGAAGAAAAGTGCATCCACAACCTATGAAAAATAAAGGCTTGATAGACCCATGATTTCCCTAACACACAGGGAAGCAGTTTGCTCTACAGACACGTCAGTCCAGGTGTCTCCTCCCAGAGAGGATGGAGAGAAAGTCCTTCAGCTCTGGTTTCTCTGCCAAGGTAGCAGCCTTGGTAGCTACGTAGTGGTGCTTGCTGCAGGTGAATGCTTCCCCCACACATGGACAGAGCCCCTCTCCCTTTCGCACGGACCACAGAAAGAGGGCAAGCTGCTGGCCAATGGTTATTGTGGTGATGGATGTGAAGGGCTCAGCAGTCACTTCCCATTCTCCTCCACCTTACAGAGCATGCCTATAAGGGTCAAACCAATCTTTCAGTCTGCTTTTCCAGTTACCGGCAGAGCGGGGCCTGCAGGGGTGGGAGAGGAGGAAATCCTCTCCCAATTTCTCTGCATGGAAACTCCTATTGCTGCTGCTGGAGGCAGAATATGGAGACAGCAGGCCAAAGCTTATGCTCTTGTTCCCACAAGATGTTGGAGGCAAGCCCTGAAGCAAGGGAAGAGCCGACACCTCTAACAGCTGCTCTCGACCAAAGCTGGGCGATGCCTGTGGCTGGTCCCTCTGCCTCAGGAGGGCTCCAGCAGCCGCCCAGCCCCAGGCAGGGTGGGGGAACTGGCCACAGCAGCCCCCATCTGCACTCTTCCAGGACACTACCTCCATTAACTTTCTCTCAACAGCTCCCTGGGCAGGGGTAGCGGAGCACAATCTACTGAGCGGGCAGTGCCTCTGCCCCGCTGTGATGTCCATGCCAGGGTCAGGGTGACACCAGCTTGATGCATCCCTCAGCATAAGATGGATTTGCATCTGGCCACTGCACACAAGCGGAGAAGACACTCTGTCTTGCTGCAAACTCTTCAAAAGGCCTGGCTGCCACCCGTGTTGGGGAAACAGGCACTCATCACCAAGTGAGACAATCTATTCACAGCTTTCCACTGTGCGGACTGGCATGCACAGGAGCTAACGACAAGAGGGAATGGAAAACTGGTCCAGAAAGGAGTGATCAAAATAGAGAAAGCTCTGAAACTTCTGCTCAAAGAGATGGAACAAAAGGACATAGAAAACGCAACAAACTGTTTAGAAGGCACTTCAAAAAATAAGAAACACAAGTTGCAGACTCAAGGCCAGTCATGGAGCTGAAGGTATGTAAACACTGGCGAGGGCAGGGGAAAATGAATTAGCAGGAGAGGACCGCTCCTGAAAGTGTTCCTACTGCATATCAGCTTGCCTGTCCCAGGGGAGGGCTCAAGAAGCCGTGAGACACAACTGTGCAGAGGCTCAGAGCACCACGCTATCCAAGGTTACTCAAATAAACTTCCCTCTGCTCCACTCAGCATCAAAGCCCAACTTCCAAACCAGACCTAAGAGAAACAGGATCAAGCGCTACACTTCAACAGCTGGGAGATAGAGCCAGACACAATACCCTTTCCTTTGGTGGAGAGAAAGAAGCCAAGAAGGATGTGCACAAGGCAGGAAGCCCAACTCGTAAGGCCTAAGAGATGAGGAAGCAGTGGGATGCATTTCTAACAGCATTCGCTCCTGCAGGGGAAAGTATTTTCTCCTGAGAACCCATTAACCATGCATCCCCATTGTATGGGGTTCACTTCAGCCCAAGGAACTCTTGACTAAAAACTGACAAGCACCTAAACCCATACAAAACCAGGATGAAAGCTCTGAGAGAGCCCTGGTGCCTAGCAGCTCTTACCAACCGGAGGAAACTGTTTCCTTTAGGAAAGGAAAATCTATCTCCCTCTTCTTTTTTTCCACCAAGTGACCCCTTCTTTTTGGGATTTATTTAAACAGCTAATGCAAATGCCAGCTCAGCCAGGCCCCAATCCCAAGTCTGCTAAAGTCAGCAGAAAGTCTCCTGCTGGCTGCAGAGACGCTTTAGAGCACTCACCAGAACCTGTGGCATTGTCACAGAGGTGATGCTGCTGCAGATCCTTCAACATCCAAAGCAGGTCAGGGCTCTGCAGTGCTGGCCTCCACACAGGCAGACCCTCCTCGCCCCGAATAACAGGTTGTATGGAAACAGAGAAGCAAAATACAGCTTGAGCCTTACCACGCTCTGTGACCTGCTCACGCTCTGCCTACATTCTCAGCTGATCTTGCTTGGGATTCAAACTGCCCTTGCTACACCAGAGAAAAGCCAAACCTGAGACAACTGGAGGAGACAATGCCATAAAGCTGACTAGGGCACAATGCACCCATACAGTGGGACCAACAAGGATGCCAGATGTCCTCAGTCTTGCCTTCTTGAAGAGGTCCATCTCTAGTCAAGTGTGGACAGGAACTCATCAGAGCCAGCACTAACAGCGTGAAGACTCAAAACCAGACCAGAGTGTGGAAGAAAGCCATGTGAAAGATCAAGGAGAAAACCTCTCCAGCAAGACAGGGTCAAAATCCCCCTTCCCTTGCTGCAAAGGCATTGTGAGTGACTAATGGGGCTCCCCGGAGTAGGCACTGCAGGGACAGACTGTAGCTGTTTTCTTAATAAACTGGACAGTGAAAAACAGGCTGAGATGCTTTAGCTGTTGGTAATTGGCATAAAAACTCAGACTGCACTTGAGTCTCCAGTTTCATTTGCTCAATAAGAGCCTCTTTCCTCTGAACTATGAAAAAAATTAGGAATGAATGTCTGGCTGCCAGAGCCAACTCTGATTTGCTGGATTTAGCATTAAATGCTGAGTCTTGAGACTGCAGTTGGGATCCAGGAATGTTAAAAATCAGCAAACTCCTCCCCTTCTGCCACTCAGCAGCCTTCTAGCAAAATAAATTACAATAAAGAATTGATAAAAGCCATTGAAAACACAGCCCCAGCTTCACACTCACTGGTTATCCTATTAGTTGCTCTGAGGCAGAGATGAGAAAGAAGGAAAAATGGAGCATACTGAGTACGGGGAAAATTTGAATCCAGCCCCTGTGCAGCCAGCCAACTGCCAGCCATTTATGCACCATGGTACCCCCAGGGGCAGCACTAACAGCAGCGCTTGAGCCTGTTCCCTTCTCCTGTGTTCCCAAAGTCTCTAGCATTGCCAGCCTCAAAGGCCCAAGTCCAGATCCCATTCTTACCACCCTAAAAACCCCAAGTTTAGAACAAAAAGTTACAATTTCTAGCTTTCCTTTTAACAAAAAAAACCCCACTGCAAATCAATCAAACAAAACCCATCCAACAAACCCACAAACATTTTAAACCAGCCACATTTTTCACTTGACTCGTGAGCTGAGAAGTTGAGGAACACCAAAAAATACAGCTTGCAACGAATCTGTCAATACCCATTATCAAGAGCAGGACTCCTAGAAACCAGCAGGGCTTTCTCCCCAGCGTGATGTTTTTTGCAGCACAGCAGCATGCACAGTCTGTTCCACCTGCAGCCATCCACACCTTTCTGGCTTAATTCCCTGTGTCACTTCAGCTATGGAGGTGAGTCAGTTCTGATGTTGTCACCTATTAGTCATCTAAGAAGATAACCTACTTACCTGCAATGCAAATACCTGAGCCTGCAAACTCAACCTTCATTTTTCTGTAAGCCTTGATACATGTAAAGCTCAGCACTAAGTGACAAGACAGGGCACCTCCACTTTGAACACAGCCATGCTCAGACATTCCAGCCATACTTGCCCAGCTCTGGCTTTCTGGGGCCATATGGCCTCCCAAGCCAGCCCAGTGCAAAGGCAAGCTGCATTCCAGGCATGCTCTGAAAGGACGCCGAGGGCTGCAGTACTAGCTACAGAATCCAATTCCATCCATTTCCTGTGACAAAGCTTCAGTTTCCGTGATCCGGGGAGTAAATCTGCCCTGCTTGACCTGTCGGGAGCCCTGCTTGAGCAGCCCCTCTCCGAGATCTATTTTGTCATCTGTTGTGATTCTGGAGAGGACCTGTGCTCTCCACAACACATTTCAGATCTGAAGTCCAGGATGTCAGCACAGGGCTTCTCCAGGGTAGCAATGGTCCCCATGCAGTTCATATGCATAAAGATGAGTAACTGATTGTGAAGACAAAAAGGCTTTGAGCGAGGAAGCCTATCTGAGAGTACAACAGAAACCTAGACTTCAATCCTGTGACAACCACTCCCAAAGTAACAAGAATCACCGCCTCCTGTGACACGTCCCATGTCAATGTCACTGGATCCAGTGTTTTCAAAGTCCTGTGCTGCTAGCAAGTAGCTGTCTTTGATTTTTCCTACCCCTTTTTTTTGTTTGTTTGTTTTTTGTGGAGGGGGTGTGGAGGTTTTTGTTTTGTGGGATTTGTTTGTTTGTTTGTTTCCAGTCTCTACCACCTACTGTCTCTTCCACCGACAACACAAAAAGTCAATGCAGAAAACCCACAACCATGTCAGGGCTTGCCTGCCATAAATCTCTTCATGTAAAACATTCCTCTTCCCTTGATTCCCCCAGACTCCATTCCCAGTCACAGGCAGGGGCTGTTTTCAGGGGAGGCAGAGGTCACCTCACAGCACAGAGGGTATTTTTGCTTTTGACAATCATCTCTGGGACCAGTCAAACAGAAGCAGAAGAACATTCACGCCTCAGCAGCGAGAAAGCTCAGAACACCTGCTTGTCTGGAACAGCTAGCCAAGGGCCAAGGCTCCTGTCTCTCTGACCACAAGAAAAGAGAAGCAGCAACTGGAAGCAGCAGGCTCCATTGCAGTTCTGGCTCTTGCTGGGAGAAAGGAAGCCAGGAAGAGAGGAACTCCCTTGTGATGAGTCGGTTCTGGCTCCTAGCAGTGTGAGCTGGAACAAGGGAGACTCCCATGTAATGAATCTTCTCCAGTTGCCAATGGTGAGCAAAAGAGCTTGGAATGAGTGATCTCCCTGTGCAATGAGGTAACACCACCTCCTAATTAGGAACGGCAGGAAGTGCCTTCTAGAATGAACGAGAACCTGCCAGGAGGAGATAATAAAACAGGGCACTTCCCTGCCAGAACAACAGAGCATAGAGGACCTCTCATTAAACCATTAAAGCAGAGCATGATGCCAAACTGCCCACAGCCCTTTTCAGAAACCAGGCCCCACCTTGCAGGCCATCCCAGAAACATGCCTTCTCTGAGTGAGGTGGCTCCATCCTGTTCCCTTCCACCCCACTCTGTCTGTTCATCAGTCAGGGCACACTACCTGCAGTGAAAATCTGCGCAGCTACTGCCAGGAAGGCGTCTGTCACCACCGTCTCCGAGTGCAGTGAGATGTTCAGTTGGCGGGCGATATTCCGGTAGACATTGGGGCGAATGTATTCCAGCTCATCCCCTGGAAACAAACAGTCAGGAGTCAGCACACAGAACACCAAGTCCCGCTCTCACCGTGTAGGAATTACCGCTGGGGCCACCCCACGTACCCCTCCAGCCAAAGAGACTTAAGCCCAGCTCCACCTTATTTTAAACAAGCAGCAGAGTGCTTTGGGTTGTTCAGATGTGACCCCCTCCCACCTGTGCCCTGCTTTCCTAATATCCCCTGTGCCTGGGACGTCTAAAGGCAGCGGGGACAGAGCGGCCCTGTACGAGCGCTGTGGCTGCAGTAATTCCCAACATAAATGATGTTCCCAGGCTGGCTGCCTGCCTTTCCTCCAACACAGGAGACAGGCCTAAGCTTTTGAGAGATACGCCCTTTCTTAACACCCCATCAAACTTGGACAAAAAAAGCCTGAAGATGAGAGCAACTCAAGAATGCTGGAGGCTGATGAAAGCCAAGGATCCACCCAGAGCTGCACAACATTAATTGAGCAGAGACTATCAGCTCAGCTATTGCACGCTCACACAGGCACTGAGTGACGATCTGGAGTTGTTTCTCTCCTCCAAATGGTTAAAGCGATGTTCATTTGCCTGGATGACTCCTCAGCAACAACATTCCTGACACACACGCAGACACGCAGACACGTGCTTTCACCTCCAGGTTGTTTTCTCTCCAGCTGGGAAACGGTTGGAGGTGTTAGGCTAGCTTGAAGACCAAGACGGAAATACCAGGGACAAGCAGAGAACCTCCTCCCACACGTTTGAGCTAAGGAGCTTGGGCAACAGCATCAAAGCTTTTCCTCTGTAGCAAAACAAACCATTTTTTGAGCACTAGAATGAATAAAGCCCAGTTTCCAATGGATTTCTCTCTCTATAGCGGTTCACGGATATCGAACGAGGGCTGCACAGCTGCTGTAGGAGCATTACACAATGCAAAAATTGCATGGGACCAAGGCCCTTTGTATGCAGAGGGTCTGATTTGTTTCAGATTTAGAAGGACTCTCTGTGTCCTTATCCTGCACAAGGGTGCTCTGGAGTACCCCGAGGAAGAGCAGAGCAGTCACAACAGCTTTACATCCCACTGCAAGACCCAGATGACTTGCTCCAGTCAGAGGGCAACTGATTCTCCTGAAAATTTCATTTACATGGGGACTAGAAAGGAAGATGACACCCCAGTCAGGAGCTTGTGATAGAGTCATTAGCTACTGATTCTTAATTCATCTAACTGGCACTCAGCACAGCACGGGCAAAGCCCAGCTCTACAGAATTCCACTGACGAGCTCTTCGGGCCCTTTGTGTGTGTGGGATTGTCCCACACAATCCGATGGTAAGAGGAAACCCTGCAAACACATGGTGAGCCCTGATAAGAGGAAACCTTGCAGTACTCAACAGCTGTTTTCTCCTCACAGGGAGCACACAGGCTTCTCGGTAAATGTAAGGAAATGGGGATAGCCCTGCCCGTGGCTAGCTGAGAGGGAGGCACGGGAGGCTGGGATCAGTACTTGGTGGCCTGCCACTGTTATAGCTTTTAACAAGCAGTGCCTGGAGGCCCCAGAAGAGATCAGGGCCCATTTTGGCTGGTGGCACACATGCTGTTAAAGTGGGCCCTGCCCTGCACAGGGCATCAAGGGAAGCCAAGCCCAGGAAAGCATCCTCAGGATCCCAGAGATTCCCTGGCCCTGGTGGGCCCAGGATCTCTCCAGCAGCACGTCACATTGGCGGCAGTCTTTGGTGTCCACATTTGGATGCCCAACTGTGCACTTCGCAACATGTAGAGCAATGTGTGTGCTTCTCCTTCCTCCAGTAACCACAGATGAACAAGCAGGCAGTGGTGATGGCTCCCATATGCAGACGCTTGGTGCAGAGCTGAAAGGGCCCCTTCCCGGGCTTTGGCCAGAAGAGAGAAATTCAGATAAACCAGACCTCTGACACATACGCAGGTTGGTCTGGGGTGTCTCCTTTGGCCATACCATTAGGTTTTACCACCTCTGACTCATTAATTGCACAAATTAGCTGCTAAGCCTCACTGAGCTAACCAGCTCTCGCTCCCCAGGACTTTGCGCCCAGCACCTCTGCTAGCCCACCAGCAGCTTCATCAAACTCTCCCCTGTCTTGGCACGTGCAAGAGGGCTAGGAAATGCTCTAACTTCTCATTTCCACAAGCTTCTCAGCATTATAATGGAGAAAAAACTGCTCTGGCTTGTTGCACTGCTTAGTAAGCAGCTAAGGACTACTGCTCCTGGCAGATGGCTGGATACCACTCAGCCTAGTACTGGTTTATAGCTGCAAAGGGGAAAAGAAAGGGAGAGGCCATATGGCAGGCGGCATTTCTGAACAAACAGCTCAGAAGCGACTCTTCATCCTGATAAGGAGGACTGCTCACCCTTCTTGTTGCATGGGTACCACATGGCTTTCTCCGAACAGATTTGCTCAGAGAAGGCACCAAGTTCCTGGGACTATCAGCCAAATCTTTCCATCTGGACATGAATAAGTAACAGGAGAGTCATCCAGGAGACGCCTTCAGATCCAGTCTGCCACCTGCTTGCCCTTTAACATGCTCCTGGCCACCCACAGAAGATCTGGTTGAAAGCAAACAAATCTCAGTCCCCAACTCAGGCAGAGAAGAAATGGAGGACAAAGAGGCAGTGAGATTGACACACACACAAAAAAACCAACCAACCAAACAAACAAAAAACCCAAAAAAACCAACACCAAACCCCAAAGACCAAACAACCACTGGAAACAGAAATAAATTCAGCATAAGAAAGAAAAAATGAAAAAGAATGAAAAAAAAAAATTGTCCATTAAAAGAAACACAGTTATGCCTTACACACAAAAAAACCAACCAACCAAACAAACAAAAAACCCAAAAAAACCAACACCAAACCCCAAAGACCAAACAACCACTGGAAACAGAAATAAATTCAGCATAAGAAAGAAAAAATGAAAAAGAATGAAAGAAAAAAAACTTGTCCATTAAAAGAAACACACTTATGCCTTAAAAAGAAATTGGGGATAATATAAAAAAGAAGTAAAAAGAAAAGGGAAGAAAGCAGGGAGACCAGCCAGGTCCTGAGTTGGTTAGACCCAGTGAAAGGTTACTTCACCAGACTTCTTTGACCTTTGGTGTAATTAAATCAAATGCAAATGCTAGCGGTAGTTTCCAAGCCAGATGTGAACTCACATACTAGCCCGCAGGCAAAGAGGGATGTCAGGAGCAACTTCCAAGAATGAGGGTGTTGATGTCCCAAAAGACAAATGGCTAGACTTGACCACACAGGAGGCTAAAATCTAAAGCAAAAGGCCAGGCAACTGTCAGCATTTAGAGGGTGCTCCTGGTAGAAGTGCAGCTCCAGAGCATGTCTTCACGTAGCAGCCTACAGGCATAACCTTCAAATCGCTCTCCCCGCAGCCCCAGCAGTCAGCTGGCCATGAGGGGGGCTGGGTAATTTGGGCACTGAATGGCAGCATATGCCAGGTGACATCAGCCAAATCCCCCTTGTTCCAACAAAACGGAAGAAAACTTATGTCTTGCTGAATGATAATGTAGGCAAAGGAAAATTAAACACAGTGCAACATGCTGTCATTGAAAAGCAGTTTTTATAAAGTCTCCAACACACACAGTCTAAGCAACTAGCCCCAAATTAAATGTCCTTGCAGCTGGGTGAGCAACTGATGAAGCCCAAGTCTAGAGGTAGCAGTAATCTACTAGATGCCAGCTTGGGTTGTGTCACGGCAGCCAAGTCACCTGCATCTGGAGAAAACACTGTAAGACTTGTTAAAATACCTAGCTGAGAAAGAGGAATGAAACTGCTGTGAAAACCATTACAGTTACACTGTTACAGAACACTGTATGCAGATAAAATTAGTTTGCTGTTGGGTTTTCTTGGACTGCATCATGTTTTTAAGTTGTTGCAAGTCCTCAGGAAAAAAGCAGCTCTGCAGAAACACTGTGCTGAGCAGTGCTCCAAGGGACTGTGGAAATGCAGGTAACGGAGCAGCTTAGGGAGGATCACCAAAACCAAATCTAAATGCCCAAAGCAGAGAAGAAAAACCTATCACCACGTGAAAAGCCTCTTGGCACTCATCAATTCCAGAAACCTTAGTCTGATCTGAATTGCTCCATATAGGTTTCAGTTCCCACCCACACCAACGGGGACTTACCCAGTCGCAGCAGTATGGTGGACACCTCGGCCAGCTTACCACCAGGCACTGGTGCGTTGTACTCAGGTTTGCTCCAGCTGACACCCGCTCGAATCAGCCTTGAATTTATGTAGTCTCTGCAGAGAGCCTTGGCTTGGGACACAAGCTCCTTGTCAGTGGGAGACCTGTCGAAAACCTCCATCACCTCTGCAGCAAAGACTGAGGAACGGCGGAGCATTTTCCACACCTCAGCGGACACTTGCTGGAAAGCTGACCCAATGCGGTAGATGAGAATCTGCGGGAGCTGTAGAGTAATCCTCTGGTCTCTCGGTTTGTCACAGCTCCCAGCAGCTATTCTCAAAAGGCCAGTTTTTCATTTTACCTGGTGAATAGAAGCATCTGTAAGTCCTCTAGCATTGCAAAGATGTAAATCAGAAACCCAAGTATTATACCTACAATTACACTAAAGTCAGTAGTATCACATTTGCAAAACATCTTATAGACAAGGGACAAAGCTTTTGATCTGTCAGCCACTCTGACTTTCACCAGCAGGGTGACCTGCAGAAGGGCTGCAGTTTTGAGCTATTGAGTTGTTTCCTCTTTTCCAGTTCAGATTCAGCAATCCTAGAATTACCCTTCAGAGAGACTAGATGCTCAGAGCGTGGAAACAATTCATAGAATGTGTAGACAATCTCAGCTTGTTTCAATTAAACTGGGAAAAAAAAAACCTGAATTGCAAATACCAGCTATAGTAATCTCAACCAGATGTCAACAGACATTCCAGCTCAGTAGGTCACGAATCTTTCTGAAGAAATGGCACTATTGCAAGAACAGGGGCACAAGAGCATTTGAAATGTCTCACTGCAGATAGTTTACCACATTCACAGTGTAGGTTTTGGTTCTGCCACTCTTTCTTTTTTCTTCCCTCCTCCCCCTCCCCCAGCAATGTGCATACTAATTCTCAAAACTTTCAGCAATAGCAGAGAGAGCAAAACAGAAAAGTAGATTTTTAAAAGGTTTCCAGGTGTGAATGCCTAAGGAGAAAATTCAAAATTTTCTTCAGAAAATTAAATCTGTCGATCTGACTTTTTAACCCAGTGCTGCTTTTGAAGTCAGATTCAGACCAGTCTTTATTCAAATGTTAGTAAACGTATCTTTCAGTCCCCAGTTTTAGACATCTACTTACGATAACAATTTGCAAACAAAATAAAGCCAGTTATTTTTGTTTGTCCCAATGAAAAACATATTTACCTCTCATGCTGCACTTTTTGCCCCTCAGTGATTTCTTTTGGGGTTTGGTGTCTCTTTGGAAGATCTGCATCAATGAACATCTGGTTTAGGATTCACAGGATACTGTCACACTTCTCTGGAGAGCACCAGCCTGCTGTGCTGTGCTCTCTGCAGGGCTCACGCCAGTGCCTCCTTCCGCATCTCTGTCAGCCTCGCATCCCGGCTGCGCTCCAGCGGGATCCTCGATCCTTGCTCTGCTGCTTTTAAGCGACCCAGGCGGCAGAGGAAAGCTTCTAGCTTTAGCCTTGTAAGGAAGATGAAATAACTGGGAGGTGGGGTTGCTATAGCCAGAGAGCAACGCTTTCTCCTCCCCTTTCTTCTTTCTTAAGGAGGTTCTCTGTTGTTCCACTGCAGGCATGCAACAGCTTCATTCAAGGACTCGTCTTCAGGGTGAGGGTAGGAGCATAATTTCTAGACCAGGCTACCCCGTGTGATGGACAGTGACGAATGGACTCCCGCGGTGGCTTTTGCAGAGTTGATGCTGGCCAGTCATTTTCAGACGGTAGCTGAGTCAAGGAACTGCAGGATGTCACGCTCCAGCGGCGGGCTAGTCATGTCAGTTCAACCTGAAATGATGGAGATGATCAGCAAAGAGAGATACAGCTGGGGGCTAAAGCAAGCAGTGTTTGCATCCCCCCAAACTACAAGGGGAAAAAAAAAATGAAGGGAGTCTGCTGATAGGAAAGAAGAGTTTTGCAGGAACATGTCCATTTCATCTCAGTGTGTTGAGAAAACTTATATATTAAGTTTAAAGAAAACATTTCAATTAGTTCCAACATACTTTGAAATTAATGTCAACATCAACCTCTTGTTACAACACTATCATATTGATGTCACAATGCTCGACTTTTTCTCTGTGTGTGTGATACCATTTCTACTCAATAGACCACATACAAATGTTGGCTTTTGTGTCATGATTTGAAACAAAAGAAGTTTCAGAAATAGAAGTTTCCTGCAGACGAGACATTCTTCCAGCCCAAACACAAATTCTCCCCAACAAATAACAATTTGTAGATTAATGACTGGCTATGTGGCGTGTTCGAAATACAGCCTTCACAAAAGGAGTTCAGAAGCAAGAGGTTGCCATCTCTTACTTGTCACGTTTGAGAAAAGACAGAGGCAAGTACACCTCTCCAAACTGCTGATCACGAAAAAGCCACAAACACAACCTGCACCACAGCTAGTCTCAAAACTGAGGGATAAAAAGGAACAAATGAAATGCAGGAAAAAGCCTTATTATACGATGTATGAAACAGTCTGGCCGGCATCCAACACACAGCTCACACACAGGCTTAACACAGAGCATATGTTTTGGTCTGCCATTAACTGCAATGTACTTTGCTGCACTGGGAAGGGGTTGTGGTAAATCCTCTTCTCCCCCCGGCGACAGATCCTCTTTCCGACACGGCTTTTTCTGGGAAAGGAGCAGGGTTAAGGAGAGGAACGTGTATGCAGCAGTAGTCAGCAGGGGACCACTGGCCTAGCTTGCTGTGATCATGTTAAGATGGCAATAAGAGTGACTGCATATCTCCAGCACCAGAAGTAGTTGCTCAAGGATTCTCTCAGAAATTTGTTTTTATCCACTAGCCTTCCTCAAATTTGAACACAGTCACTATAGGCAGTGGCCCATCCCATAGAAGCTGAAATGAAGAGTGCAGAGATCCTGTGCTACTGCCCATCGCGAACCCACCCCTTCCCTGTAGAGTACGTCTGATGGTCTCTTGGAAAATCCTATTTTCACCCTTGCAAATCTGAAAGAAAAATCATTAAATCTATGTCTTAGCTTCCTGGAGCAGCTGCTGACCTGAAACAGCAGTCCTATTTAAACTGTCCCTATTCAGTAGAGCTCTCAAACAAAGAGGAATGCTTAAATATCAGTATTGCTTAATTAATGATAATCTTTCCCAGAATTCTGGCAAATATGCAAGTGCCACAGTGCTTCCCAGTTCTCTGTGGGTGCTAAACCCATCCCAAACCCTGCCTGACTGTCACAGCGTGCAGCACCCCCTCAAGTTCCACTCTGCATCAGACACAAAAACTAGAAACATGAAGCCTGTGTGTAATAAACCAAACTTTGCATTAAAAAACCCTTGCAATGCAATGGTATTCGGCTTATATTATTTACACACTAAAAATACAGCTTCACAGTGAAAGACACCTCTATAAGTAAAATTAGATGACACCACAGCATATACTGCTCAGTTGACTCCAAAAGAATAGGGTGTTACAATCCAAGGGGCTGCCAGTGTCATCTGAGCCCCTTTCTCCATATGTTTAAGCTATAGCACTTAGAGGCCAGACCTATACTGGAAAAACCCTCATGGCAAAGGAGGATCAGGAATCAGTGCAGAAACAGCTTCCATCACCCAAACCCACTGTTCCCAGTGGAGCTATTACTGGCGTGACAGCATTCTGGCTGGAACGACAGGATCCACACCACGGCTCCTGCCCATCTCTGATGGAATGACCAAGAGAAGGTTGGAGCATTTATTTAGTAAAACCAAGGGACCACAGAAAGAAGCAGAAAGATGCCACATCCCTGGAGGTGTTCAAGGCCAGGCTGGATGAGGCTTTGAGCAACCTGGGCTAGTGGGAGGTGTCCCTGCCCATGGCAGGGGGGTGGAACTTGATGATCTTTAAGGTCCCTTCCAACGCAACCCATTCTGTGATTCTATATTTTATAACTACATCAAGCGGAAGCAAACGCTGGAGAAACCACATTGGCAAGAACATGGCAATAGTCTAAATGTGGGCAGCTTATGCTCAATATTAAATAGTTTAACCGTTAAAGAAGTAAGTCTCTGGAAGAGCCTGTTAACAATTGCAGTGGAAGCAAAATAGCTAGCTAATTGTGAGCACACTAAGCTTCCGAAAGGGTCTGCAAGATCTGGTTTCCTGCAATAGCACGAGAATAACCCCGAGTCCTCCAGAAGGTCATTTCCAGCCTTGTGTTCACCCAGCCTAGTTTCAGAGATATCGTTTTGTGTCAGCTCACAGCGCCAATCCCAGCCACTTCACACAGCCTACAACAATTCCAGCAGAAACTACGCGCCGTAACACGTAGGGGTCCAATGTTCTAAAACACCTGCAGAGTGAGGGCTTGGAGAAGCAGAGGGATGTCAGAGTGTTTTGACAATAGATGGGGTCAGCGCAAGGGACACAGACACCAATGTAAAGAATTGAGCTTATCTTTACTTACGGTTAAAGCAATAACAATAATATAGTAAGTAAGAATAAAACAGAATGAGGTAATATAACGCAAAGCAATAAGACAAAAGACAAAATAGTACAGTACAAAGAAAATAAGACAAGTATTACTACATGTGGTTAACTATACATCACTTCAAATGCGGAACATGTGGCATCATTCTCCATCAGATTCCCACCTGGGCCTGGCCAGGGCTCAGTGAGGAACCAAGGGAGCTTCTTCATCTGTTTGGCTTTGACCACATCGTTCCAACCAAGGCCAGACAGCTGGTCCTACAGCCCTGACAACCTGTCTCCATACATGGAGAGAGGGGACAGTCTCACAACATTTGATCTTCATTAGTGATTATACTTTAAGCTATTCGCTAATGAGCATACATACTTTGCTAATGATCAGGTACTATTCCTATACGTTGTTCTGTTGGAGGGGTTCGTTTAGAGGTCAGCTTTGGTTCGAGGCCTGCAGCTCAGGCCTCCGTGCTTCACAGAGACACACAGCTCATAGCCAGCGAGCCTGGGAACCAACCCTGCTGGCCCCCGCCTGCTGCAAGAGGTTTCCCTGCAGAGAGAAGATGCTCTGGCAGAACACTGGCACTGTAACCAGGCCAAAGCCTTCTACCGAACCATCCCTGAACCTTCTTCTGCATTATCTCACACAGTTTTACATACTATCTTCTCCCCGCTGCCTCTTCCCATCTGATTTTCGCAGCAATACTTTAATTTTGTGTTTGTGAAGTCATCGCTTACCACTGCAAAAACACTGACAACGTCAGGCTTTAGGCTGCAAAGCCGTACACACAGGAGGAGCAGGGAGGCTAGAAGAAACACTTCTTTTTATACAGAAATATTTTGCC